AAAATCGCATAACAGCCGAGCATACACCCAGCAGCGCTGCTGATGCCTGAACGGTATGTGGAATGAAGTGGGCGGGCATCGGGAGGCCACTATGGCACGGGGCAAGCACTATGGGCAGTCTATCTGAAGTGTACCTGGCGTATAAGACGACCCCCCACTTGGAGGCATATTTTTCAGGGCCAAAAAATCGTCTTATACGCCGGCAAATACGGTAACTCTTTTACAAACACACTTGACCCTCAAAAAACCTGGTGAGATCATTTCTCCATGAGGCTGAGATGAGGTTAGAGGTCTTTCTCAAAGCCCTAGCCATGGTCCATTGCAGAGCCATGCTCTGAGCCAGACCTCACGCTCCCAGGCAGCCCTCATGACATCTGTGTTCCTCCCGGTTTCAGGCCTCTGGAGTAGCTTCTTCTGCCGTGCTGTTCGTCTTTAGCCTCCTGGAGTTCTGCATTGCCTGCACATCTGCCCATTTTGACTGCAAACTGCTCACCTCTTTAGATAACAATGTGAGTGTGTATGATCCTCAGTTGGTGGAAAGATGCTCTAACGCGTGTGGGGACTAGAGAAATTTTCAGGCTTCCCCTTCTTGCCCAGGCACATGGGGAATCCTAGAATGTCTAAAGGCCTTTGTGCAATTGTGGTTCTGACTAACGCACTTCCATGTGCTTGTCTTTTTCAGAGAACTGTGGTCTTTCAAACCGTCTATGTGACAAACCCAGTGGCCAATCCAGAACCAGTGAACACTCCACCATCTTATTCCAGTGAGATCCAGGACTCCAAATAAGCCAAAGGTTCTAGAAGCATCTTTCACTGGAACCAAAAGAAGTCCCTTTCTGGGCTTCTGAAACTCAGCTTCTTCCTCCCCTGACAAACTAAGGAAAATGTCTTTCCAGCTGTTGGCACCTTGTACTTCATTCACAAAACTCTATTCATGTCAGGGAGAGGGTGAACATGGAACATGCAAAGTCCTTGACTTCAAGGAACTTCTGCCTCACAAGAGAAGAAGAACATGCAAGCAGTTTTCTCTAACATAAGGCAGAATGTGGGAATGTGTAGAGAGAGATCAGAGAGGGAAATTATTTATTCTGGCAATGATTGGAAAAGCAGAGAACAAGCCTGGTTGAGGAAGCAGCATTTGTTGGGGGCATTAAAGGAGAGTAGGTGGTTTTTATTTTGGTTTTTAAGTGCAATATTATATCATTATTTTGAGAAGACTTTCAGAGAGAATCATTCACTGAAATTATTATGCTTTTCATATGCTGTTGCCACCGATGCAATAGTACTCAAGAACAAACGTTGTCTTAGGATATCTTCCAAAGTTATGAGGCTATTATATCTTTATTTACCAAAGGATCAAAACTCATTCAAAGATAAATAGCTGTCTATAACTTCTAGATCTATGCACTTTCAATTTAAATATTGTTACCCATGATGGTCATTTGGCTCTGTAAAGTTTATGTGCCAGCAGATTATAGAAATAATCTGTAAATTCCAGGTGCCATCGAGTTTTCCTTTGCTGCACAGCCTGGCAATGACTTTTTATTATTATTCTTAAATACAGACATGTTTTTACTCTTGTAAATATTTTTAGGCTCTAATTTTACCTAAGAAGTTTCCTCTCAATGGCTTGATGTTCAGAGTTCTGTCTCTCTCATCACTTGCATCTTCTCTGACCTTTGGATGCCCACCAGCCAGTCAGGAATAACTGAGATTCCAAAGCCTACAGTGTGTTTTCTAGAACTTAACGGATCTTGGAAAATGACAGACAACAAAAAAAATGTCAGTTGGAGCATGTTCTATTCTGATTTAGACCAGCCCTCCACTTCTTTGTTTTGTAAGCTGAGCCCAACGTTAGTACACTGAGCTCCCCGTCATGGGCTGACTTGTTTGGACCAGTTTTAGAAGGCTGGATGGTCAGAGTAAGTCTGGTCCTCTCTCCTTCTTCTTTGTTGTTGCCTCTCATTGCCCCATCGGATTTGACATCTTCTCACTCCACAGATCTCCAGTCCTCCAAGTTGATCCTACAGTCTCTTCTCAGAGCCTCCTTCCTGACTTATCTGACCTCCGAGTTAACATGAACACTCCAGATAAGTCTCACCTCCTACATGTGCATCACCTCATGGAAAGCATCTTCTAACACACCTGGTGCTTCTCCAGAGAGGGATGCCTCCCACCTGTGCTGCTGAAATCACCATGGGGCTAATTTGAAAAGAGTTTCTTTCTTATCCTACTACCTACTCTATTAGTTCTGTGTGCTAGGCCCATCATCCAGAGGGTTCCTTCCTCAACCTGGAGTGACAGCTCACTGCCTCCAGCAGGTAATAAAATTGCGTACTTGCCCTGTACTGTCCCACAATCCATCTGTCTGAACACCTCCATTCACTCCCATTTTCTTCAGATCAATGACACATAAAAGGTGGAAGAGACTTTGCAGACCTATGGATCGATGGAAATGCACAGTTTCCATCCGTGGAGGACAAAAATATTCCCAAGATTAGCAAGCCTCTTTTATGACCATTTCTTTTTGCAGTACATTCTGATACCCCATTGCTTTTTGAAGGTGATGGTACCCAAAATTATATTAAGATCATCACGTGAACATATGTCTCAACCTATGGCAGGATCTCTCTTGGTGCATACATTTTCTGGAATATTTTTCGCTTCCCCTTCCTATGTCATAACAAAGGGGATTGATATTATATTTGCCTTGGTTAATTATGAAAATACTCATATTCTCTACTTCCACTTCTGTACTTTGTCTTGATGTGCCTACACAGATTAATATTTTATTCTTCTTTCTCCTATATTACACTAATAAGTCTACTCCTTTATAACTTTATTTTGTTATTTATTACTTACTAGTGTCCCAGTGCATGGATTTGTGCACATTGAAAGGAAATTAATTAGAAGAAATATTTTAATATTTCTCTGTTTGCCCTTTCTCTATAATAGAAGTGTTAACCAAATTAACGATCAGCAATGACAGATCAAAACACACGCATGTGATTGGCACCAGTGAGAGCTTTACTAGTATATGTATCGTGCATGCATGAGTCAATTTAGCCTTTTATATATATAGAATACTCTTGCTTAATTAGACCTGCTTTCTAATTTAACTAAGGTTTTTCCAGTCCAGTGAAGTACCCCAACTTCTCTTTCAGGAAATTGTTCTGTGATGATCAAAGGAGATGAGGCATGTGAAAATGCTTCACAAACATTTGGTTAAAGTGTAAAATGTTTGCACCTGGCTATACAGCAAGCCAGGTTCCTGGGCTGAAGGAACTCCAAGAAGACAAAGTCACTAGGGAGAGGAAGCCAGGCGTTGCTATGTGATGTCATTACCTGGCACCCACAGTTACTGTTTCCTGTATGGGCTGGGCTGTGGGCCGCATTTTGTGCCATGGGATCTTGGCAATGTTGACCGCGATTTGTTGGGGTGTCACTCTAGGGTGGTGGCAGGGCCTGTGTTCCACTTGGGGGAAGCCAAGTGTTGGTTTGTCGGCACCAGGTCCATGGTGCCGTTTATTTTTAAATGGCCAGTGTGCATCATGACAGCTCCTGTGTTGAGCATCTGCCCCTAGTGGTCAGTGCACGTCATAGCTACCAGTCAGATGGACACTTATGCTTTTATATATATAGATAATAGTAATTCTTACTATTACCTCTGCTCTTATTTTTTGCAGATGGCTTCTTATTTTCTTCCCTTAAGTCCAAACTTACTATACATGTATACAGACATTTAACTGTTACATCTTCTAAACTATTTAGTCCTGAAATCTTACACAATAAAATATATGTCTAATATATATTATGTATATGTATTTATATACTACTTTTTGACAGTGAAGGCATTACTCTAGGCTGGAAGATAGTGGGACAGTCCTTGTTCTGCCACTAACAAGTTGGAGGTGGCAAGAAAGCCACTGCCCTTCTCTGCATGGCAGGTACATCATGTGCAAAGTGAGAGTCATGGACCAAATGATCTCTGGTTTTTCTTCCAAATATATCACTCAAAAAATTTTTTTAAATTTATTGTTATTAACGCCCCCCTATTTTTCCCCATTGACCCCCTCTTCCTCTCCACTCCTGTCCTCTCCCCAGGCCTTCAGTATAACTCAAAATTTTAGCATAAAATCACACAATGCATAGTGGACTCTACTTTCAAAGTTCAAGGTATTCTTTTGACTTTTTAGGGATGATTTTTTTTTAAGTTGTATGTACAGTGCTTTATCTTTTGGGTCCTTGTCTAAGTACTGATGGGCAATCCTTCACTTTCAAAAAAGAACTGTTCCTCACATTAATTAGACAGACATTTCCCCTACATAATGTCAGCACAGTTTCCCAGTTATGAGTGAATCATTCCAGAAATGTCAGTTTGTGAAGAATTGGATAAGGGATTAAGCATAGATTGCCAGTTGTAAAAGGTAAGCACAGAAATTGACCAAACAACTGAACAGCAGAACGACCGTCCAGATGACCTTCTGGAAGACCACACTATGACACGCACTGCACCAGCCCAGCAAAGTGGGTGCAATGTGATTGGTCGGGGGGCCCGCCATTGCCCCTTGATCACCCTGCAGAGGGAGGCACAGGCCACCAGCCAGTGGCAATCAATCAGGAGGCTCTGCTGGGATGGAAGGGTCACTGGGGGGGTGGGGAGGGAGGGAAGAGGACATCTGTAATACTTTCAACAATAAAGATAAATTTAAAAAAATAGTCACAAATATTTAAAATACAGGATAGGGGATAGTAAAATACTTTCAACAAAGATAAATTTAAAAAAATAGTCACAAATATTTAAAATACAGGATAGGGGATAGTAATATTGTAATAACTATTTCTAGAGCCAGTTGGGTACTCCACATAGCATGGTGATCACATCATTTATAATAATAAAAGTATAATATGCAAATTGACCAAACAACTGAACAGCAGAACGACCGTCCAGATGACCTTCTGGAAGACCACACTATGACACGCACTGCACCAGCCCAGCAAAGTGGGTGCAATGTGATTGGTCGGGGGGCCCGCCATTGCCCCTTGATCACCCTGCAGAGGGAGGCACAGGCCACCAGCCAGTGGCAATCAATCAGGAGGCTCTGCTATCGCCCCAAAGAGGGAAGCCCAGGCCACCCTCTGAGGAGCAATCGATGAGGTAAGGGGCTCCACGATTGATTGCCCCGCAGAGGGAGGCCCAGGTCACTGGCCAGGGGGCAATCAATGGGGGAGGGGGGAGGCTTCAGGGAACCAGGGAATGGGGGTGTGTGGTGGTAGACATGGGCAGCACCAGACCAAGGTGCGGGTGGGGGGCGGGGCCTTGAGGCAGCAGGGGCTGTGAGGGCCCTGGCAGCCGGGACTGCGTAGGCCTACCCTTGCACAAATTTCGTGCATTGGGCCTCTAGTATGGTATATAAATGTCTAATCATGATGTACCCCTGAAACTAATATAATATTGTATGCCAACTACTATCACAAAATGAATGTTTTTAAAGAATTCAATAAATATAGACTGAGTTGTTAGAAGCCACAGGAGCATCTGGATACTCCTGAAGTCACTGAGTATTTAACAGTAGGAGCTTCCTGTGCATAAATACAAAGTAAGGAAGAAATATAATGAACTAAGAACATTCTAAATCTACAGGAAAGAAACATTCTAAATTGAGTACATCTTGGAGAAGTAACAGGGTAAGAGAAAGCCCACCCTTATTTACAAGAATATAAAAAATTTAATTATCTATATAACCCAGTATTTGAAATTTAGTTTTGTGTAAAAAATTACATTCAATAACAAAAACAGGAACATGCTGCAGTCACCTGTATATGTTTTCAAATCTCATCTTTATAACTACTGATTGTTAACTTGTGTGTCAATTTGCAGGCTTTTGTTCTTATGTTATAACTAACCAGAGAACC